GTGCACTGGCCTCCTGTACCAGGCGTTCAGCGCCGGCGACTACAACACACTCGGCGACAGGTATTACGTGCGCGGAAAGTCCTACGAGAAGTCGTACCAATGGGGCGGTGTCTATGAGCTAACCGACGACAATATAGACAAACGGCTGGGCCTATTGTCGGGCGACGGTGTTGTCAAGTTTGCCGTATATGTGTGCGCCGGCGCCAAACTGTTGGTCCTCGAGGAGCCAGGAGCAGAGCCATACCAGGAGCAGATATCGACAAACAATACCAATCACCACCGCATCATGGTGCAACAGGGAGGCCTGGTGGTGGTCGAGGGCCAGTTGCAAATGCAGGCGCCCAGTGTTGGGACGGGAATGACCAGGTTTCAGTTGAAGAATGTGGGCCAACAACAGCACTGGAGCCGTCATTGCCTTCAATCGCCGGCGCAACGGAACCGAGTGCTTGAGTTGAGGGCCGCGGCCGACGCCGCCTTCGCGGCCAATTGCTGAGGCCACACTCGCCCAAAAGGTAACGGCGGCGGCGGCCTTTCAGGCGGTGGCCAATCAGGCGCCGGCCAATCAGGCGCCGCCCAATCAGGCGACGGCCAACCAAGAGGTCGTTGCTGCGACTCAGGCTCGCGATCAGGCTTTGGCCACTAAGAACGCAGCCGTTAACGCCTACACCGCAGCCGCGAATCCACCCGTCGCCACAACGGCGCCCACGCAAACAGACGCCCGTCTCGTCGAAGTGGCCGCACATGACTGTCCGGTGCTATTCCTGGGCGCCAATGAGTCCGAGTACGGCTCCATCGCCTGGGAGTTGACAATACATCACGAGTTGAAAGCCGGACAGCCGTCACCGAAAAGACATTGTTACCTAACAATACCAGAGGGCGGGAGGTTTGAGGCCATCGATGACTGGATGATCGGTATGGAAGAAGTGCGGGCCCGGCATCGGTACGAGCGTCTACACGAGGCCAACGTCGAGATGGAGGGCCAGTCCGTGTGTCACACGCATATCGGCAAGAGATTTGTTGTGCCGCCCGTTATTATGATGCACAAAATACTGGGCGTCGGCGCCGATCGCACCATCCATACCAATATTCATATGATGTCCACCGCATACCGAACCGAACAGAGGGTTCACAAAGACCACGAGCCGTTTCCCGTTGTGACCACCGGTTACCGATGCGCTGAATGGCCGGATCGGGTTAAGGAACCAAACTTGAAGCCCTTCGTCACACCCGACTGGCCTCTCATCGAATACACGGACAATACGGGTGCGAAGCAAATTGGGTATCGGAAGACCGACGCTGGTATTTGTTTATTTTAATACAAATTGTAAACAATCTGTAATTTAAATTAACGTATTTTTCAATTTGTTTTGAATTTTATTGCAAAAAAACAAATTACATGTACTTCTTAAATATGTGAAAATTTTTGTATGATTTATATATTGTTTAGAAATTAAACAAATAAAACAAAACCAAGCATTTAAGGGAAAAGCAAAACACAAGACATCGGATCCCAATCGCTGTGATAAAGAGACGGGAACTATAGCTTTAGTGGTCAGGCATTAAAAATGATTAAAGCATTTTTGTCAAATAAATATAATATTGTATTTATCGCAAACATAATAGAAATAAATATTTCAAAACAATTCTTTCGTCGCAAACAATAATAAAATATTTAAAAATACATTTAAAACTTGAAAAGTGAAACACAAAACAAAACACTAAACCAAAAGTTTTGTTAAGATATCGCATCCAAAGACCAAACTTGTATTCAAATACAAGAAGACATACCAAACCCCTATCAGACACACGGCAACAGTAGCTTAAGTGAAGAGTACACTAACACTGCAATACAAATGGCGAGCAATACATCGGCAACATCTGCCACAACACCCCCGACGGCAACCCAAATATCGGAGCCTCCAATCATATCGAAACGGGAAGGACTACTCCGGATGCCCCGCATTGGGTTGTATCGGTATTTGACGCCCAATTCAAACCAAATCTCGTATATGAAGGCAGACAAGTCGGACGAGCGCGCAGTGAAGGGCACCTATTATGGCAAAGATGTGGCCGCCGACGAGCGCTATCTGTTGCTAACACAGGGGCCGAAAGAAAAGTTGAAAACCGCGCCGCACATCACGGCCCGTAAGATACTGTGCCGGGGCTCCGGTCTGTTCTACCTCGGGCCATTCGACTGGCAGGGCGCTGACCAGCCGGGTAGGCGTGAAATGAGCGACGACATTCAAAACATCTGGTACTGGAGGAACGTGGCCCGGCGCCAGTGGGGCGCACACGTATACCTGGCGCGCACCGGCCAACTGAAAGCGGTGCTCATAAATTTGCTAAACAACGGGTTTGAGATGGCAAACCCGGCGCCAGTCCATAGCTTGTATCCTATCGTGCGGTTCGAGATCGAGCCCGAGGCCAACGTGAACAAAAGTGGCGTTCCCCTCCCCAACGACATCCGTACTCTATGTGTGTCCGCTCAGGCCAACTATGAACACTGGGAACAAGAAGTCAAGCAAGCAAAGGGTCCCAGTAGTTATGACACGTATTACGGCTTCTATTGGCTGTGCACAGGTCTCCTGTACCGGGAGTTAGACCCCAAAGACTACAACACCGGCGACAGGTATTACATCCGCACCAAACACTACGAGAAGTCCCTTCAATTGGGCGAAGTCTTTGAGCTGACGGACGACAATATAACCAAACGGTTGGACGTGTTGTCGGGCGCCAGTGTTGTCAAGTTTGCGCTGTATGTGTGCGCCGGCGCCAAACTGGTGGTCATCGACCCGTACCAGGAGCAGATATCAACAAACCACTCGAACCACAACCGCACCCTGGTGCAACAGGGAGGCCTGGTGGTGGTCGAGGGCCAGTTGCTGATGCAGGCGCCCTGTATCGGGCCCGGGGTGACCAGGTTTCAATTGAGGAATGTAAGTAAAAAGCATTGGAACCGCCATTGCTTTCAATCGCCGGCGCAACGAAACCGAGTGCTGGCGCTGAGGGCCGCGGTCGCCGCCGTCGCCACTACTTATAACACAGCGAACGCCACTCACGTCCAAAGTGTCCAAATTCAAGCCGCGGCCCCTCAAAACCAGAGGGCCGCTGCCGATCAAGCGGTCAATGCCGCGGCTCAGGCCCTCGCAGAGGCGTTGGCCGTCAGGACCGCAGCGATTGCCGCCTACAACGCCGCCGTCTATCCACCCGTCGCCACAGCGGCGCCCAAGCAAAGCGACACCCGTCTCGAGGAAGTGGCCGCACACGACTGTCCGGTGCTATTCCTGGGCGCCAATGAGTCGGAGTACGGCTCCATCGCATGGGAGTTGATAATAGATTACCCGACAATTCGTGGACAGCCTTCGCAACAGAGATCATGCGTACTAACCATACCAGAAGGCGGTCGGTTCGAGAGCATCGAGAGATGGGAGGACGGTATGGACGAAGTGAAGGCCCGGCATCTGTACGAACGCCTACATGAGCCCAACGTGGAGATGGAGAGCCAGTTCACGTTTCACACCCATCGCGACAAGCAGTTTGCTGTGCCAGATGTGGCTATGATGAAGAAAATACTGGGCATCGGCGCCGACCGCACCGTCTATACCAACATCCATATGATGTCCACCGCCTACCGGACCGAACAGAGGCCTGACAGAGATCTGGAACCGTTTCCCATTGTGACCACTGGTTACCGATGCGTTGAATGGCCGGATAAGGTAAAGGAACCAAAGTTGAAGCCATTCGTCACACCCGACTGGCCTCTCATGGAATACACGAGCGCTACGAATGCGAAGCTAATTGGCTATCGCAAGAACGACGCCGGCTATATGTCGACCAATTGGGGCCAACAGGTGATCAACGACGCCGACACCACTACAAAGCACGGGCAACATTTGCTCTACCAGTTGGGGGCCGGCGGCCAGAAAGTGACCGTCAGGAGACAAACTGAGCCGCACTCGCAGCCAGTATACGAGTACTTTAGGAATACATTCGGCAACCCTCCGTTGAGCCCCGTATTGTACAACGGATTGCGTGCCTACGTGGGAATCGACGGGTGCGAGTACTTCAAGTCCGGCCGTCCACAATCCGTTGGCAAATACCAGGCCGTGTATTACGCGCCGCCAGCCGTCGCGGCCCCACCACCCGTTGCGGCCACCGCTACGCCCCGGCCGGTGTCTACCGCTCGCGCGACTCCATTCGTGCCTATGAGTCGAGCGTCGATCTTTGCCAACTCCAAGCCCACCGGTGGGGCGCCCGGCAAAGGCAGCAAATCGGGGTCGACTGACCCAAAAAAATGAGTGCCGCAAACAGTATCTGCCCTACCATTGCGTTGGGAGGGGAAAGGGAGGCGTCGATCGCTTATTTATGATTTTAGAAACCAAATTCAGTAGTATTTCAATATAAAAAAGTTTTTGTTTTTTGAGTAAAACATTGATTTCTATCTGTATTTTATTTATACTATTGATTGAAATGACATAACAATTGAAAAACAATTTAGATAATAATTACTATTTATTAATACGAGTTTAAGTTTCGTTTATTATACAAAACATAAACAATTGTAATTATAATAGTGTCGTACCTTTCAATTGGTTTTGTATTTGATCTCAAAAACAAATAATTTCTTAAATATGTGAAAGATTTTGAATAATTTATTTATTGTTTAGAAATTAAAAAAAATAATATTCAAAATTAAAAACACAATTTAAAATTGAAAATCATTGCAATCAAAAGCAAAACATAAGACATGGGATCCCAATCGCTGTGTAATAAGTTATTACCATATTACTAATAAAATAGTTTGGGTCTAAATTATAATAATAATTTGTTAAAACAATTCAAATGTACAATATTGCAGTTTGTAAGTTGTAATTAAATACTCTATGCACTTAAATCAATACTGTAATCTTAAGAAAGTATAGGTTATAGAAAACACCTGTAGATACTTAAAAATATATAATGTACTAAAATATTAGTATACTTATAAATTATAAGTTATAATGTACAGTATTAATCATTGAATGTCATTGAGTGCTCGATTGCACACAATTTTCAAAATAATCTGTTATAATCCATTACAAAAGTAGGCAGATAATAGTTCCCATGTAGATAAATTATGGTATAAATACTAAATAGTAGACTTGAAAAACAATTGTAATTAATTTTGTATTACAATACTAATAGTACAAATTGAGTTTATTGTTTATTAAAAATGAATTATATAATTTTAGTAATTACCGTGATTTTATATGCAGTACATTGTAATGCTTTTCAATACCATTACATTGTAAGTAATGGTAGAATACATACTCGCGAAACACCCAATCGTACGATTGAGGATTTGCCCGACAATACGGTGGCAACACTTATATATGAAAATAACATAAATGTAACTGGGTAATTATAATTTAATATCCATTGATTTAATAAACTTAATTATACTAATTAACATAATTATAACCTCAACAAATTATACATAAATAATCTAGATGGGCTAATTTAGAGCTAACATCGTATAATACGTTCGCAAACGATAGTCTACAGGCGTATATGTCGGGCAAACTCGAGGGCTACACAACGGGTTCACTCATTCATATGCATTATCTCAACACAATCGACGGCTTTTGCGCTAAACGTAAACAGTTTTGCGATGCGTTAAAAAACTTTCATAAGACAAACACCGCTTTTATCAATACTAATATCAAAAGTCATGCAAACGACGACTATTGGCATCAATTAGGGCTCGTTTACGAACAGATGCGGGGCTTAACGGCCGGGTATGAGGACTGGAAGGCTGTCAATAACGTCACCGACCGGACTGTGGAAATGGATGTGATGAGTGAAATCTGGTGGTTGAACCTCATGTTTGAAGCCGGTGAGCTCGAGGCTATACTCACACCCAACTCAACTACAATAAAGTATCAAGACCACTGTACGGCCATGGTCAAAGTATTGCCCGATGGCAGTGATCTATACGTAACTCACAACGCATGGTACATTTATAACATAATGCTCCGGGTACAGAAACAATATAGCTTTGCATTCAAGAGTATAACTACCGGTGCTCTAATACCGGGTCATTCTGTATCGATGTCCTCCTATCCGGGATTCATCTTCTCGGGTGACGACTACTACGTCCTGTCCTCTGGACTCGTAGTCCAGGAGACGACTAATGAAAACTTTAACAAATCGCTGTACTCTACGGTACGACCCAATCAAGTGGTGTTAGAGTTTGCTCGCGTAGTAGTGGCCAATCGGTTGGCCACTGGGGGCCGGCAGTGGTCAGACATATTGGGCCGCTTTAACAGCGGAACCTATAATAACCAGTTTATGATTGTTGACTATAAACTATTCACCAAGGGCACACCAGTCCATTCACTGTCAGATAATTTACTCTGGGTGTGCGAACAAATGCCCGGCACTATGACCGCGGCTGATGTGACCAAGGTGCTTCGTGATACCACGTATTGGGGTTCGTATAATGTGCCATATTTTCAGAATATATATAACATGAGCGGAACCGGTGGTTTGGTTCAAAAATGGGGCGAGTTTTTCAGTTACAAAGAAACAGCCAGGGCACTTATATTTAAACGAGATCAAAGCACCGTGACCGATTTGAACACATTGTATTCACTGATGCGCTACAACAACTTCCAACATGATCCTCTATCGCAATGTCACCATTACCAGCAAGAGTGTCAGCCCGGGTACGCTGGCCAGCTTGCCTTAGCGGCCAGGCATGACTTGAACTCACCCACCGGACAATACCCGTATATATTTGGTCGCGCTATCGCTGGTGCTATGGATGCAAAGATGACAAACTCAGATATGATCGCGAGGTTAGAGATGTTGGCCGTGAGTGGGCCCACACATCGTCAGCAGCCGCCGTTCCAATGGTCTACTAGTGGTGCCGGCCCTGAGCTCAGTCATATCGGTCACCCCGATGTGTTTGATTTCAAACCTATTTATACCAAGTGGTACCCAAACAAGTGGGTTATTGCCAATGATATTATTAGTGGTTAATTAATTGATGTGTTTTTGTAAAATAAATAATTTAAAAATAATAAAGTTATTATTGAGAAACATAATCTCTTATGAAATTTATGTTTTTTATATAAAATTTATAACTACTAAAACACATTATTGAAAAAAACAAAAATTATTTTTTATACATTTTTATTCAAAAATTTAACAAGAATTTAGACTAAATTTACAAATTTTAGAGCCACAATACACTGATTTTTAAAAATTTAACAAAAATTTAGACTGAATTTACAAATTTTAGAGCCACAGTACACTGATTTTTAAAAATTTAACAAAAATTTAGACTGAATTTACAAATTATAGAGCCACAATACACTGATTTTTTAAAATTTAACAAAAATTTAGACTGAATTTACAAATTTTAGAGCCACAGTACACTGATTTTTAAAAATTTAACAAAAATTTAGACTGAATTTACAAATTTTAGAGCCACAGTACACTGATTTTTAAAAATCGAATTAAAAAATAGATGGCTTTTGCGGTGATTGCTTAGACGTTTGCGATACGCTCAAGAATTTTCATGAGACGAACACCGCTTTTATCACTACTGTGTGATCAATAGTCACGAAAACGATGACTATTGGCATCAATTAGGGCTCGTTTACGAACAGATCAGGGGTTTAGAGAACGGGTATATGTATTGGAAAATTGATAATCACCTCATTCAACAAACTGTTGACGTATTATAAATGTGATGAGCGAAATCTGGTGGTTAAACATACTTGATGAAACTTATGAGCTCGAGGCAATACTCACACCCAACTCAACCACAATACCATATCGAGACCACTGCTCAGCTTTGGTCAAAGTATTGCCCGACGGCAGTGACCTGTATGTGGCCCACAATACGTGGACAAATTATAAATCAATGCTCCGGGTGTTGAAACAATATAGCTTTGCATTCAATAGCCTAACAACTGGCGCTTTAATACCCGGCCATTTGGTGGTCATATTTTCATACCCGGGGTCTGTCTTTTCAGGTGACGACTACTACGTCCTGTCCTTTGGACTCGTAGTTTAGGAGACGACTAATGAAAATTTCAACAAATCCTTGTACTCTACGGTACGACCCAATCAAGTGGTGTTAGAGTTTGCTCCCGTAGTAGTGGCCAATCGGTTGGCAGCCAGCGGTCAGACATATTGGGCCGCTTTAACAGCGGAACCTATTATAACCAGTTTATGATTGTTGACCATAAATTATTCACCAAGGGCACACCAGTCCGTTCACTGCCAGATAATTTACTCTGTGTGTGCGAGCAAATGGCCGGCAGATGTGACCAAGGTGGTTCGTGATACCACGTATTGAGGTTTGTATAATGTGCCATATTTTCAAAATATATACAATATAAGCGGTACGGGAAGTTTGGTTGAAAAATGGGGTACGTTTTTCAGCTACAAAGATACAGCCAGGGCACTTATATTTAAACGAGATCAAAGTACTGTAGCTTATTTGAACACATTGTATTTACTGATGCGCTACAACAACTTTCAACATGATCCTCTATCGCAATGTCACCATTACCAGCAAGAGTGTCAACCAGGGTACGCTGGCCAGCTTGCCATAGCGGCCAGGCATGACTTGAACTCACCCACCGGTCAATACCCGTATATTTTTGGTCGCGCTATCGCTGGGGCTATGGATGCAAAGATGACGAACTCAGATATGACCGCGAGGTTAGAGATGTTGGCCGTGAGTGGGCCCACACATCGCAATCAACCGCCGTTCCGTTGGTCGACCAGTGGTGCCTGCCCTGAGCTGAGTCATATCGGTCAGCCCGATGTGTTTGATTTCAACCCCATTTATACCAAGTGGTACCCAAACAAGTGGGTTATTGCCGATGATATTATTAGTGGTCAATTAATTGATGTTATTTGTAAAATAAATAATTTTAAAATAGAATTTAGACTAAATTTACAAATTTAAATGCAATTGTAAACTGATTTTTAAAATTTTTAACAAGAATTTAGACTAAATTTACAACTTTAAGTGCAATTAGAAACTGATTTAAAAATTTTTAACAAGAATTTAGACTAAATTTACAATTTTAAGTGCAATTAGAAACTGATTTAAAAATTTTTAACAAGAATTTAGACTAAATTTACAATTTTAAGTGCAATTAGAAACTGATTTAAAAATTTTTAACAAGAATTTAGACTGATAAACTCAATAAAACTTAAAAAAAGTTTTAATACAACTGTATAATGCCTTGAAAGCGAGAGCCAAACCCAAGTGGAAGTATCAAAAACACTGTTTAGCCATAGTCAAAGTATTACCCGATGGCAGTGATCTATACGTAACTTATAATCCATGGTACATTTATAACATAATGCTCCGGGTACAGAAACAATATAGCTTTGCATTCAAGAGTCTAACTACCGGTGCTTTAATACCGGGTAATTCTGTATCGATGTCCTCCTATCCGGGGTTCATCTTCTCCGGTGACGACTACTACGTCCTGTCCTCTGGACTCGTAGTCCAGGAGACGACTAATGAAAATGTCAACAAATCCCTGTACTCTACGGTACGACCCAATCAAGTGGTGGTAGAGTTTGCCCGCACTGTAGTGTCCAATCGGTTGGCCACTGGAGGCCGGCTATGGACCGATATATTGAGCCGCTTCAACAGCGGAACCTATAATAACCAGTTTATGATTGTTGACTATAAACTATTCACCAAGGGCACACCAGTCCGTTCACTGCCAGATAATCTACTCTGGATGGCGGCGCTGATGTGCGCCATACGGGTCAGCCCGATGTGTTTGACTTTAAACCCAAAATGAATTATTGTCGATTATATTTTCGATTAAATAAATTGCTATTCAAATTAAAAGCCAATTCATAGGTAATTTTAACCAATAATTTTTGATAATTAACACAACAATATAAATTGAAAGTTAAATTTCATGTTTATAACATAATGTTTAGTAACAAAATTAATAAAAATAGTTCAAATAATAATAAATTGTTAAACGCGTGAAAATTAAAATTTTCTAATATATTTTAAAAATACGTTAAACTAACTCTTATATAATTTGAATTCATATTTGTAATAAATTAGCTATAAATTGTAATACATTGGTGTAAATTATCATAAACTCCTATAACTTTCAATAATCTTAACTCCAACGAAGTGTTATTTAATGCCCCGAAAACGTGAGCCGACGGCTGAGTCCATCCATTCCTATCATATACTATGTGTCGACAAAAGGGTCGAGTTTTTCGGCGACAAAGAAGTGAATATTCAGACGGTTTGGACGACAATTGTTTTGGACGATAAATTGATGAACGCGTTGAATGTGATCAAAGCATATCGTCGTAATGTTCAAGTCGTCAAACAGTTGTTTGATTCATCGGACGCCCAGTACTCGTCCGTCGTCGACGATCCCAACCAATTGCCGGCGTTATACGATTTGTTGTACAAACAAGTGATTCAGCACTGGATGGTGAAAGTGTGGGCACCGGTGACGGACACTCGGCTCAGGATTCCCAATGTGTTCAATCTGGCCGAAGAGCTAAAGAAACTGATTCGTGACGAGTGGTCGGCTGTGCGGGCGCTCGACTCCGACATCACACCCAATGGCCAGCCGTCGCTCCAGAATTTGGTCCAAAAGAGACATGACTTTGTCGTGAATTCGGTTTTACCCGTAAATACAACTGAACGCCAACTAATAGCTATAGGAACGGATTGTGATGTATCGGCGGCGGCCACGGAGTGCCCCAATTTACCCATATTTGCCACTCATACGGCTAATAGTTGGCGCAAAATCAAGAAGATTAGTAGTAGAGACCACTACGAAGGACTGGCCATTAGTTTTATTACGGATTTGATAGCTTCGCGTCAATCAGAGCCGGAGCACCACTTGAGATACGATCGGTGGATCGCTCTAACTATTGAAATGGTTGGCATCGCTGTCCCTGATTTTCAAATGCCTGACAATCAGTGATAATACAGATGTGATCGTTAAAAAGCATACATTACACATAATATTGAACTTAGTTTTTGCCATCAAATAATTATTTTGTGTTATTTATTTCTCAATTTGTAAAATAAAAATCAATTTCTAATGTAAAATAACATTGTTTTTATCTATTCGTAACACTGTATTGATATTTCATTTTAAAATTAACAATTAACTGCTTAATGTATTTGTTTCATATTTGAAATCTATGGCAAAAGCACCTGTGCATACAAAGTATGATATCTGTATCAAAGTATTTACTTAACAAAAGTATGCACAAAAATTCTTAAATTGTTTTGATACATTGAAATATTGTGTATTATTATACATGTATGTAATAATCATTATATAAATATGTGCCCTTCAGCACTCAAATGCATTCAAATTTTAAAATTATCAAGTACAAAACCTATCTCAAAAGTATTTTGATTTTAAATCAGTTATATTAATAGATGATGCGAGAAGTTTTATTAAATTATGGTATTAATACTCAAAACTTGAATAATAAAACATCTCTAATAAATTAAATAGTATTTAGTTTAGTCAAAATAAACTCAGTAGTATAAACATGAATTATATAGTTTTGATAATTACCGTGATTTTATATGCTGTAAATTGTTGTGCTTTTCAATACCATTACATTATAAGCAATGGTACGATATATACGCGCGAATCATCCAATCGTACAATAGATGGTCTGCCCGACAATACGGTGGCAACACTTATATACGAAAATAACGTAAATGTGACTGGGTAATTATAACTTATATTAATTTAATTAATTAAAAAAAAATAATCATAAATAAATATTGTAGATGGGCTAATCTGGAGTTAAAATCTTATAATACGTACGCAAACAACAGTCTTCAGGCATATATGTCGGGTCGACTCGAGGGCTACATAACGGGTGGACTCATTCGTATGCATTATCTTAACACAATCGACGGATTTTGCGGTCAACGTAAACAGTTTTGCGATGCGTTCAAGACTTTCCATAAGACAAACACCGCTTTCATCAATACTAATATCAAAAGTCATTCAAACGACAACTATTGGCACCAAATGGCACTCATTTATGATCAGATCCAGGGCTTAGAGGCCGGGTATGAGGACTGGAAGACTGACAATAACGTCACTCAACAATCTAATGAAACAAATGTGATGAATGAAATCTGGTGGTTAAACCTGATGTTTGAAACATCTGAGCTAGAGGCAATACTCACGCCTAACTTAACCACAATACCGCATCAAGATCATTGTTCAGCCATGGTCAAAATATTGCCCGATGGCAGTGATCTATACGTTGCTCACAACTCATGGTTTCCTTATAACATAATGCTCAGGGTATTGAAACAGTATAGTTTTGCATTCAATAGCCTGACAACAGGCACTTTAATACCGGGTCATTCTGTATCGATGTCCTCCTATCCGGGGTTCATCTTCTCCGGTGACGACTACTACGTCCTGTCCTCTGGACTCGTAGTCCAGGAGACGACTAATGAAAATTTTAACAAATCTCTGTACGCAAGCGTACGGCCCGATCGGGTGGTCTTAGAGTTTGTCCGCAATGTTGTGGCCAATCGGTTGGCCAGTGGGGGCCGGCAGTGGACCGACATATTTGGCCGCTATAACAGCGGAACCTATAACAACCAGTTTATGATTGTTGACTATAAACTATTCACCAAGGGCACACCAGTCCATTCACTGCCAGATAATCTACTCTGGGTATGCGAACAAATGCCCGGCACTATGACCGCGGCTGACGTGACCAAGGTGCTCCGTGATACCACTTATTGGGGTTCGTATAATGTACCGTATTTTAAAAACATATACGACATGAGCGGTACGGCTGATATGGCGGCCAAATCCACGTTTTTTAGTCACAACGAGACCGCGCGGGCACTTATATTCAAACGTGATCACACCAATGTGACCGAGTTTAATTCGCTGTATTCATTAATGCGCTACAACGATTTTAAGCATGATCCATTGTCAAAATGTGATCATTATCAACAAAAATGTCATCACGGGTATTCTGGTTTGCTTACCATAGCAGCCAGGTGCGATTTGAAGTCGCCCACTGGCAACTACTCTCAGTATTTTGGACATGCATATTTCGGTGCTATTGATGCCAAAATGACCAACAAGGAAATAGCCGCGAGGTTAGAGATGTTGGCCGTGAGTGGGCCCACACATCGCAATCACCCGCCGTTTCGCTGGTCGACCAGTGGTGCCGGCGCTTATGTGCGCCATATGGGTCAGCCCGATGTGTTTGATTTTAAACCCATTTATACCAAGTGGTACCCACACAAGTGGATTATTGCCGATGATATTACTGATGGTTAATTGAAGTGTTATAATAAATTTGGAAAATAAATAATTTGTAAATAATACATTTATTATTGGAAAACATTAATCTCTTAAAAATGCAATATTAATATTACAATTAGAATTATTAAAACACATTATTGGAATAGAGAAAAATTTACAAATTATGCAAAATTAAACGTAAAAATAAACACAAATTAAGTTCAAAAAAGTTTATATTCAATACCACAAAAACCAAAGCCGTCGCCATATATAGTATACTAAATTTTAACATTAAGTTTATTCGCGAATTTTTTTAGAAAATTTATGCACTAATAGAAAGTACCGAATGTAACGCATTATAAACTAGATAAAAATAAACAATTATTTAATATTAAAATTAGACAACAATTTAATATAAGAAAACATTACATTTGAAAATACGGTAAACGTCATGGTAGTAATCGTACCAATATTTATACCCAAACGCCTACTACTGCTGAGCCTTTCGTAACACATCATTAACTTAAGCTTAAATCTCATGCAAAAAACGCCTCCATTTATACACCATTGAAGTCGTGATAACTTTTTGTGCATTTTATGCAAACGTCGCGAATACGAGGCCAACACATACTGACCAAATAATATAAACATTTCATTCAAAATTAAACAAGTTATATAGAATATTCTTATGTAATAAACCATGTGTTCAAATAATATCTGATGCAAACATATCAGGGTGAAAGGTACCACGGTGATTACAACAATTAGATACAATGAACTAATTAACCCGTTTACACGGCCGTGAATTATGCACAGGTTATTGTGTTGTTGAATATAGTTATTGATTGTTGACGTCATATATCTATGTCCCCATATATTAAATATTGCTAAATGATCAATATGCTTATTCAACATGATAATTTTTAGTATACAGTACAAGACACAAACGCCAAGTATGACACTGGTCAATATTACGTGTACAAATAGCTCACTAACTGCTAGAATTGTCATTATTTGTAATGGTAATGAAACTATATATTGCATCAATGTATAATTATTACACATTAGTGCTGTGTATATAATAAAATTGACGATAACTGTAAAACAATGTTAAATAAAGTTACTATTAATTTAGGCACTTTAATAAAACACAATTCTAATATTAAGGTAGAATCTCATATTACTTACCTATAGATATAAGCGTAGGGTTTAGAATTAAATAAAATGGTTTAAGGTAAAAATTTATTTTGTCTATTATACGTGGATCAGTATCGGCCAGTATTTTAGACTTGGATGAATTAGGTCGGCGGCGGACTAGATTCCATATCTGTACTAATATTTGAAGTTTGCTAGATGATAATATGTAAAATCTAACATGGGCAGTTAAACCAAATATAAATGCCGTTATAACTAGTATTCGTTGAAATAATACGGTCTCCATATCTGACGTGAATATTGAGATATCAAATAATAATAACTTTGTTTCGTAACTAAAATCTACAAATACACTGATTATGTATATTGTAATCAATAGTATGTAATTGAATGCCAACAAATACATAATAATTGTCAACTTGGTAATTCCGGTAATCCTGAGCCTTTGTTCGAGTATTGCAAGACATAGGTTTATAATCATATTATTTGCCATTGCACTAAATTTTCAAAAACCTATACTATTTTAATTACTATTCACCGGTATGTTAATTTATAATTTATTATCAAATTTAATTATTGGATTTATATTACTATAACACTGCAAAGTATTTACTTAAACATTACTTACGACATCGTTAGACATCTACGGCAACGCATTAGATTACATATAAAGATGTAATATACTGTAAAACTTTATATTCATAGTCATGTCAAAAACATTGACATCGATTATCAATTAATTATAAGTTTATAATATAGTTTTAATATAAATATTCATATAAATAAGTATATTGATATTATTCTTATTAATTTAATAGAATGCACAAAAATCAATTGAATATACATGTACCATATAAAGTACATATTGAGGTTGAATCAATAAATTCTTATCAATTTAGACATTTTTTTATTAAAATTAAATTTAAAAATCTTAATTGTAATCATAAATAACTATTTTGCATTTATGCAATTACTCACAATTAAGTAAGAATATGATGGCACTTTATTAGAAATTTTTAGAATACAGCCTAAAAGATGGTCCAATAATAACTTTAATATGACCAAATATACATAATATTTAATACAAAATACCTAGATTTAATTTTTATAATGAAGATAATAACAGGGTAAATATAGATATTACAAAAATACATTGTATTATTAGAGTTAGAGTCCAATCATTAGAGTTTGAAATCTCATGGATATTAATTGAGTATAACTTGACATTTAGTTTAAAACAAATATATTTATTGACCAGCTGAACCTTTACAATAGTTGGCAATTCCTACACAATAAACATTTCAATGGACTTTTAATAAACAATTAATACAAATAATCAATGGTTTAAATTGTAATTTATAAATAATATACAAATAAATATACCAATTGAATTGCAAATACATTCATAAACATGTTATAAACGGAAACATTATTTGGACATAAATTCAATACTAATTACAATATTGAAAAGTAGTCAAAACTAAACTTAAAACAATTTACAATAAATTCTGTAAACTTTACATTAAACCATAAAGTTGTTTACATTTAAATTACCGTTCTCAACAGTATTGTATTTAATAAATTAGAATAATTTAATGATAATTTTTAAATTTATTTGCAAACTTTTGAGTCAGGATAAAAAATCGCAAATATAACACAACAATCTGTAATTAGAATAAAAATATTAATATAATTAAATTATATTTTTTCTAAACATTAAGGTAAATAAATAACAATTACTTTACTAAATACCGGAAACGTCATGACAACCCACGAGCCAATACTGGCGCCCAATTTGCGACTACTGCTGAGTCTCTCGAAACACATCATTAACTTAAGCTTAAATCTCATGCGAAAAACGCCTCCATTTATACACCATTGAAGTCGTGATAACTTTTTGTGCATTTTATGCAAACGCGCCGAATAGGAGGCAAACACGTACTGACATCCAAATAGGCTTATATACGACATATAAAGTGACATTAAATAAAGTATTTGCAACAACCATGGTATTTTTTCAAACAAAATCTGATGCAACATGATTAAAGAAATGGGAAACAAACCAATAAGAAACAGTAAATATATGTTCTTGATACAATCATTAACCAAATTAAGCGTTGCGCATATATTATCATGTTCATTCATGTAGGTCTCGATAATCCGGGTCAAATCACGTTTGCTAACACTAATTAGAGACAATTCTTGAAGTTCCCGGTTAATTTTATTTATACGCAAAAATAAATATAAGAACATAGTTATAAACATATAAGCTGTAGTGATCATGTCATAATATAAACGCATCCATGCTAATACAGTAATTGCGATTACAATGACTGTTTTTAAAAATGTGCCCATGGTATAATATTCGATTACATATGCCAGATATAGTCCAGACGTAAATATAACTATTTTAATAATTATTATAATGTAAATTAAATTATGAGAGAGAGAGAGAGAGAGAGAGTACACTGTGAGTGAAAACAAGTGAAATGGAATCAGTAATTAACCAAAAAACAGGATATGCTTTGCGAATAATTAGACATGGATGGTTAATTAGACGTTGCAAATATATGAGTAATTTTAAATGCTTACATGTGAGTAAATATGAATAGACATAG